CCTACTTGGTAGATCTAAAGGAGATTGTACAATCAGATTGTTACGTGTGGTGAGCTTTAGGCTGGGCACACACCTTACAACCATCGCAAGACTTTTGTCTTGCGATGGTTGTAAGGTAATTAAAAAAACGTACAATCTGCCTATCTTGGACAGGCAGATCGTACTTGCGATGATCGCAAGCCGCGCCCCCCTGAGGGGTGGGCTTCCGATGACCGCAATGCCGAACGGGCAGTGTGCGCTTGCGCACACCGGCCGTCCGGCTTTTATCTTACGAACATGCTACACACCCGCCGAACATCGTACGATGCTCGGTGGGTTTTCGAACATGTTCGTAAGTTTAAAGTCGTGCGACCTTACAGTAGTAGAGGTCGCACAGCTTCCACACACCTTACGATAATCGTACGATCGCGGGATTTCCCGCGATTATCGTACGATTATCACAAGGTGTGTGGGGACCTTTAGAGTGTTTTCCTTGAAAATGTGCATTACGCAGAAATGAATGTTAATTCGTATGAATTGCCTGCAAAGCATATGCGAAACACTTTTATAAAGCAATTAATTAATAACATGCAGGGGGCGTGGTCTGGCCGCGCGAGTATATGGCCGCTTGATCCGTGAGCAGCGTCGCCGGATCTGACGAAATTGCAACTAACTTCGGTAATAGGATCGATACACTTACCGAAATAGTCCCGATTGATATCGGAATACCTCCAGAGATGTCCGCAGTTAAAAATAAGTCCAACGGCTCTAAGAAGCTGACGGATTTCTATCCGAGGCCATTTCTATATGTCTGTATCTATGTTGTATTATTTTTGTTATTATGTTCTATTGACAAAACCTAATAAATTCATTGTTAAAAAAAAAAATAATTAATAACATGCAATTTGTAAAAGAAAAAAAAAGGGTAACACAAAAAAAAAACCCCAGGGTGGCGTGATTTTTTTGTTCCTTTAAAGCTGAACTCTGGGCTAAACAAATATTGCCGAAATAAAGGAGGCATGTATATTCTTAGTTGAATCTTGGTGTGCCTTGCAGGGCCATAACTACAGATCATGGGGCCCCATAGCAAAAATGTGAAGGGGGTCCCCTCTGAAGACCTCTCTCTGAGCTGTGAGTAATGATGCCAAGATACCAAAAACTCCTCTTGTGCATCTGAAGTCGTCTCTATACTGTAGACTTTTGCCCTTAATGATGCAATTCTGTATTATATTCACATGTTCTATGTTTAATTTGCCTTAACAACCTAATGGGGCCCCCTTCAAACCCCCAGGCCCCATTGCAGCCGCTTGGGCTGCTATGCAAGGCCGGATTTACTTTCTCTGCTGCCCCGTGGCCAGGTTCCTCAATGCATCTCCTTCCTG